TTAAGGAGGGCACATATACGCAAACAATGAATCACGGAACACTACATCAAAAACTAATGATGTAATGTATGGTGACTAACATAACATAGTAAAATAAAATTTAAAAAAATAAATAAAATAAAATGGGATTCTCAGGGATGCCTGGGTGGCTCAGTCGGTTAAGCGTCTGCCTTCAGCTTAGGTCATGATCCCAGCCGGGGTCCTAGGGATGGAGGCCCCCATCAGGCTCCCCGCTCTGTGGGGAGGCTGCTTTTCCCTCTCCCTCTGCCTGCTGCTCCCCCTGCTTGTGAGCTCACTCTCTCTAATAAATAAATAAAATCTAAAATAAAATACTAAAATTAAAATAAGATAAAATAAAATGGGATTCTTGGGTCTCTAGGTAAATTCAGTAACAGGGGCTCCCAAACTATTTCTAATTCAAACACCTAACAATTTATCTCCCCCACAGCCCTGGATAAAACTATAGTGTCATATATGCCTTTAAAGAAGTATAAAACTATGTTCTTTCACCCACTATTCCCACTGCTGAGAATTCTTCTTCAGGAAAAACTTAGGCAGGAATAAAATGCTATACACACACAAGTGTTCAAAGCATCATATCGATACCAACAAAATACAGATAAAATCAAAGTGCCCAAAAGGATAGAAAGGAAAACTAGGGGGGAAAAAAAATCATACCTATTAAAACATACTTTGAACACTAGATAAAAGCAGGAGAGTTTGGTACATTAAGGAACCAAGAGATCACAAACTATTTTTGGCTATGACTGCAATTACAGGTAATATGCAAAAGGACAGTGGTTCTGTGGGTAATTTTTTTTTCTCTTCAAAATTTTCTCTGGCATTATGGCTGCATAATCTTTAAATTAAAAATGAAAAATATAAAGCTATTTCCATATCATCTAATCTTGACATCTAAAAAGAGAGTACGATCTTCCCCTTCCTTTTGGGGAAGCATGTTGCTGAATTTAACTTAGAAGTGCCATTAACTAAATCACCCATAGTTAAGACTACCAAAGTAGAAACAGAAATACTAAGTCTACCTACATGGTCACAAAGCTTGCTAAATCATGCATTTATGGACCACAAGATGGTATTTTGCTGATCTGAGAAATTTCACGTCATGTGGTCTGTTTTGTTTACATAAAACTCCCATATTTCACTAAAATAGGTTTTGCCTGATTAAGTTTCTGAAACCAGGGACTAGTGGGCCAGGACTAGGCCATTCCATTTTAATTAACTAAAGTATCTATACATACTATAAGAGAAAAACCTCAGTCTTTTTTCTATGTAGGGAAAAGCCCAGTTTTTCCCTAGTGTGTGTTTCTTCCCGGTGTGTCTCCCTTACTAGTCACACACAGCACTTCACTTCTGATACTTCTGACCACCAAATTTGTGGAGATTTTACCCCCGGCAACTGCCTGTGACACCAGCTGGGTGTCCTAACATTCAACTCAATTATGACTACCTGGAGATAGCATCAGACCCCACAGGTTGAGGGCTTAGTCCCACAAGCCTGCCCCTCCTCCTGCAAATTCAGATGCCAGTCACAAGCATGGATGGTTCTGACCAACAAGCTATAGATGGGAGGTTCCAACGACCTCCTCCTTGGATTCAGCTAATTTGCTAGAGCAGCTCACAGACCTCAGGAATATACTTAGGTTTACCAGTTTATTAAAGGATATGATAAAGGATACAGATGAATATCCAAGTGGAAGAGATGTGTAGGGCCAACTACATAGGAAGGGGCCAGGGCTTCCATGTCCTCTCCAAGTGTACGGCTCTCCCTGTACCTCCACATGTTCACCAACCCGGAAGCTCCCCAAATTCCATACTATTGGGATTTTTATGGAAGTTTCCTCAAATAGGCATGATCACTCATTAACTCCACCTTCAGCCCTTCTCCCTTCTCAAGAGAATAGGAGGTGGGGTTGAAAATTCTAAGCTTGGTCTTGGCTTAGTCTTTCTGGAGACCAGCCCTCATCCAGGAGCCATCCAGGAACCCACCCAGAGTGACCTTATTAAAACAGAAGACACTCTTATTACCCAGAAAATTATAAGGGTTGCAGAAGCCAGGGGTCAAAGATCAAATATCAGAAAAAAAGAGGTTATGATAAGAGCACTGCTCTTATCATTTAGGAAACTACAAGAGTAGGAGCTCTGTGCAAGGAACTAGGGGCAGAGACCAGTATGTATTTTCTATTATCTCACAAATACCAAGCATCAAACATTTGGAGAGAGTTCAACCCAAGAACAGCAATGGCAAAATCTAAATGGAAAGTATAGAAAGAACCCACACTCTTTAGGGAAAAAAAAGAGATGGGGTAGGGAAAAGCTACAAACTGAAGTAGAAAGATCATTGGCTTCTGTCAATTAACACTAATAAAACAATTCTTCCTGAACTCAGGATTTCCTGAGCCCAGAATTTCTGGACACTCATCTAAAAGTCATTACCCTTTGTCAAGTGGCAGAAAGCTGCCCATACACTTGAATTAAAAACTTTTTATGAGGTAAACAGTAAAGCTTCAAATCTAATTCCTGAATGGTCTGTAATTACTAATATAAACCCCTGTACAACCTAATAATTGTTGAGATGGAAATGGAGATAGATGCCCATCAGATGCCCCCATCATTTCGTCAGAAATATCATCAATCTCCAATAACAAGCAGGAAGTAGAATAGCTTTGTACAAGACTAGGCTTAGAATGAAAACTATAATTCTATCAATTTAAAGAGAGCATAAATATTACAGCAGAAAAAGTTCCCTCCTTCTCTTCTGATACACATACCAAATGTTTATTTCCCATCTTCTTTAAAATGGCAAGGGAAGGCATAAATAAAACAGAGTAAGGAAGCAGAGAGAAAAAGACCAAGATTTCTAAAGGGAATGTATAAACAAGGGATGGTGTCAAGGTACTAATAGTGAAAACACAAAACACCAGAACTGACACACAGACTGAGGCTTAATATCACCCAATCAGCACATTCTCTCCTTAAAGGAAAAGTCCAAATGAAAAGCCAAATTATAATCAAAAGGCAGGTATATTCTTAGAACAAGATTTCCCAATGACTAAGAATTTTCAATCATGATACCATAGGCTTCATTGTATGGACAGAAATAACAATTAAGTTGACTATTAGTGTTGGCTGATCAGTGATTCAAAAACCTCGATTCAAATAATCTTGACTATATTTTGCAGTAGGCCACCTCCTACACAGGCCAACTGTTGATGACAACTAGTTTCATTCAGATACTAACCCTGGGTAAAATACAAAGAGCATCTTGGATCAATCTCCTAAATACTGATATATTAAGTAGTGGAAATATTTCCCTTTAGAAAGTCTCATGAAATAAGAATCAAATGAATAAATGTAGTAGAAGCACATTACTTTAGATTACCCTCTCTGAGGGACTGGATTACACCTTCCACGGTAGTCAAGAGTGACGAAGACAATCACTGTAACACCAACATCTGCAGAGAATCACAAAACCAAAACCCAGAGCTCCTTTAAGAAATGTCAGAGTGAATGGCAAAAATGACAAGACTTTTCTAGTCTATTCTGAAAGAGTTCCAGATATATTCTACAACACTCCTCTATAGCACACTCAAGCAATTCTTCTACTCAGAATGGTTAAAATTTTCTTACAACCAAGATCTCTTCCTAGTTAAGCCCTTTTAAGGTAAACAGTGAGGTTCTGACAAATCAAACATTTAATACAAATATGAATTCTTTAAATTACCTTTCATCCAAAATGACCACTTCACAATAAATAAGAAATGTCATAGGCTATTTCTAGCTCTTTAGGGCAATAATTTTAATTGGGATTGGGATTCTTTCCCATTTTTTAATTTTTAATCCCATTTTTTAATAATTTTTCCCAATTATTTCCCAAAATAATTGTAAAAGTCTTTAAAATATACAATACATAACATACACAAAAATTAGAAAATTACACGTACATAAATCTTTTCTTTTTTGCAATAAAACATTTCATGTGTGAACGTTTAAATTACATTTTTCAGATAGTTTTTTAAAAGGCAGATATATGACTACAAAGTAACCTACGCGAATTCTGCTATTAACAAGGGGACAATCTAACTTTACAACACTGGCTCTCTCTATAGATTTTTGCCTCTAGAAAATAATACAAAATTGATCCACTGAGTAATTAGCAAAATTGTAGTCTCTTTTCCAGTTTACAAATGACAAGACAAAACAACTATACAACCTGGCACTTTAAAGTTTCTCATGTTAATATTAGACATATTGCACTTTCAGAAAATGTATGTTTTACAATCCTGTGTTGATAATAAAAAAATCCTTAAAACTGAAGCATTTAATTAAATGAAGCAAATTACAGATGATGTTGACAATTACCTTCCACTAATGAATGGCTAAGAGACTAAGTATCTATCTACTTGTTAACCTGGAAAAGGTGTCCCTTTTATTTCACATGGCTAACCCTTATCTTTTAGTCCTCAGCTGTCACTTAACCTTTCAGAGGCCTTCTCCAAAGGCAGATTAGATGCCCTAGTTACATACTACCAATAACAAAGTACTTCCACTAGTGTTTAAATACACTGTATTATAACTTTCTGGCAGTGACTGGCACAAGTAGGCATTCAAGTAACTGTTGAATGAAAAGGTTAAAAGTAAACATGTCAGAATGGCTTCAAAGTGGTAGAGAAGTCAACCCTTCAGATCAGGCTAGGGCTGCAAATAAGGGATGGGGATGGGAGCAGAGGTAGGAGGGCCATGGGTGGGAGGGTATACTCCCTTGTGTATGAGAAAGGCTTTCAAAAGCTTCTAAAAGTAATATGATGGTCAAACATGACAGTAAGACTAAGAATGACCATATGTGGACTTACACTAATCCATTCACTTTTATAATGATATACATGATTGGTTTAAAAATTAGATGAATCAATTTAAGAAAAACAATACATATTTTATTTTTTAAGTTACTTGAAAGATTCATAAATTGGAAAAAATCTCACCTGTCATGGGATCAAAGAGCTGATTAGCTTCTAAGTCTGTAAAAGTACTACTACAGACAGGACATTTGAAGGAAGCCCGGTTGGTGGAATCTCTCTCATCAGTTTCAATCCTCCTTCTCATGTGATCCAATTTATATTTTACCACATTAACAAGAGTACGATAATTAATAAAGTAGTAGTTATGGCGAGTGGTTTTCCCATCTGCAGCAGTCTCTACCCTCATTCTGCATTTGATGAACTTGTCTCCCTTTAAATTATTCAAAACTGATCGAAGTTGCTTCCGATCAAACTTGAGCAGCTCCAGCATATCCTCCTCTTTCACACAGGGGTTCCGGATCAAGATGTCCAAGGCCAAAGCATGCTCAATGCCATAAAACCCCCGGATCACATACTTGGCTAACCTCTTCAATGCTGCGGGAACCTCGGTGAGGACGTCCGGATCTGCCATCTTTAGCAGCAAACTTCAACTTTAAATAAACCAAATTCAGAAAAAAAGAGATTAGCTAGGCATAAGGACACAGTAATCATTTTAAATCTAGAATAATCAACCCATTAGGTAGCTGGCAGCTACCACCCTTGAAGTGCCACAAAGGTACTCAAGCCATTGTTTTAAAAGACTCATAATGCCTAAGCATTTAAACAGAGAATAAAATTTTCCTCTAGAGTACAAAGATTACACTTAAAAAGCTTGACATATTTCTTAAATGTTAATTTTCATGATCTACAGGGCTTGATTCTAAAAAGTAACTTACTACTTATAGCAATGATATATTATATCAAGCCCACTTTATTTCGGAAAGAGAAACAAAAAAGATAAATGAAGCCTCACCACTGTTAATGCTATAGATCTTTGGGAATGCTGGAAAACCCCTGAGAAACCTAGCAGTTAGCATATCCTTAAAGTGTCTTTATTTCTTTTCTTGAGTAAAATTTTTCTACCAAAATCTATTCTAGGATGTTTTACTTAGTCATGCTCTCACAATAAAATCATAAAAAGCCGATAAACAAATAAGTAATCCCCGGATGGGTGTTTGGCAAAATTACTGTTATAAATCTGAAAGAAATTAACACTTAGATCCAGATAGCTTTACCAACCTTGCAAAGTTAAATCTGATGACCAATTAAGTAAATAGTCCTTAAATTAAAAAAAAAAAAAAAGGCCCAAGATATCCTTAAATACTGGATCCCTTCTTGCAGGACAAAGCAGAGGCTAACTGTACCCAATTCTCATGTCATGACCCAGAAGACTGTCTTCCACAAGCCCAAACTGGCATGGGCTAGACTCTGACGTGGCTGTTAAAAAGCCTGCGTTTTGGAATTCAGTTAGCCTGCTTTTTTTCAGTAGCTGTGTGATCCTGAGCAAATCCTTTAAACAACGTCACATTTTACTCTGAGAAATAAGGATATCAGTTACCTAATGAGGTTGTTGTGGTGAATAAATGAGAATGTTAAGCAATATGCTTATTAGGAAGTACTTGTTGATAAGGATAGCTTCCATATTGATTTCGTATGTCCCATACTAAAAATGGCCAGGCTACCTACACAGGCTACGACTTGTGAAATTTCCCTATACTATAGGGAGTTTCTTAACAGAGATATCCCACTGAACTATTTCAATAGAGAATCATATTCTGTTATTACTACTAGTTTCTATTGAACCTTTTATTTATAATCAGTGGTTATCAATGCAATCAGATTTAATACCTTTTTTAGAATATTTTTATATCCACAGTACTATACTATCAAGGTATTCCTAAACAACCAATCTACACACATATTTCTGGGGAGAAACACAATGCCCTATGTGTAATAAAGGAAAAGGAAAGTCAATTATAGTATTTCAGATTGTAAATAATCACGCATGACTATATACAAGAGATAAAGCAGCACCTAGATCCAAACCTGTGGTCCTAGAACCTTCCTGTCATCCCAATACTTAAGGATGCTGAGCAAGTACCTGGGTTCAACACCAGAGTAGTATCATAGCATACTACTGGATACATTTTGTTCTCCTTTCCAATTTAGTCTATACATTGTACTTGATCCCAGTTTTTTTGTTTGCTTTGTTTTACATGCTCCACAGTTGGCAGAACACAACATATAACCTCTGAAACATCCAAAAAACCAAAATGGCAGACAAATGTCAAAGTAAATTACTTTTTCAGTATTATTTTCTACATTTACATTGCCCTCCCTGACCTCCCACCCCATACACTCCATTTTCTGGACCAGTGGTTCTTAACTCTGGCTGTAAAGCAGAATCATCTGGGGAGCATTTAAAAATACCCATTCTGGGCCCCATTCCCAGAGATTCTGTTTCAGCTGGTCTGGGAGAGCCAGACTAGGCATCATGTTATTTTAAAAGCTCTTTAGGTGACTCCAGTACACAGAAAAGTCTCTGACCACTATTCCAGACAAATTTGGTGGGTGGCTATCACATGTCCTGCCAATGCACATTATCATTTTGCCTGTTTCCTTTGCTTGAAACACCTGAGAGGGCACTAAAGATTTGAGTAAGGGAGAGTTATGAGGGACTCTGCAGGACAATACTTTTGGGTTTTGAATCCCAGTTCCCCCATTTCCTAGCCTGTGACCCTACAAAATTCTCAGTTTCCTCATACATAGAAGTAATTGACAGCACCTTCCTCGTAGATTTGAAGTATGGATTAAATGAGATAATTCATATAAAGTGTTCTGTTTTCAGGGCTGGAATCATAAGAGTACCATTAAATACTGGCATTGATAACAAGACTTCTATATAGAAAAGTGACTCTTAGAATAACAAGAGGAATGAACTGAAGTATTGAAGATGGTGGTACTGCAGAAGTATTAGGAGCCATAGTAACCAAACCTAAACTAAGGAAAAGAGGGCAGGATGAATGAAATTTATTATAGAAACAAAATTAAAAGAATCTGATAATATATTGGAAGTGAAGTAACAGAGTAGGAAAATTTTAAGTAGTTATTTGGGTTTTTCCTTTTTTACAATATTTTTTATTGGTAAAATACACATAACACAAAATTTATCAATTAACCATTTTTAAGTATACAGTTCAGTGATATTAAATACAATCATAATGTTGTACAATCACCACCACCACCCATCTCCATAACTCTTTTCATTTTGTAAAACTGAAACGCTACACCCATTAAACAATGACATATTTGATGTTATTAAATAATTGCATTGAGCCAGTGTGGCTAGTAAGAGAATACTACCACTATGAAAACTGCGTTAACACCTGAAAGAGGAACAGGTTTGTAAAAAATGAGGCATTCACTTTTAGACGCTTGCTTCTGAGGAAATACCAGAGAATATTCCATGAAGATGTCCAGCAGGTAGCTGAACAAATGAAAGTGGAGCTCAGGAAAGAAGGCATGCTGTTCCAGCTTATGCAAACTCTCTACATTCTAAAATCATCCTTCCTGACCATTTTGTTCTCTCCTCTACCACTTCTACTTCCCCACTTACGATGAATCTCCTACTCTTTGGATTTGTTACATTACTTAAGTCAGAGGTCTCAAATTGGCAGCCTCTGTCACATTGTTTGACCCAAAGAACATTTTGAAAATTTTCTGAATTAGTTGTCAACATTGAAAAATCGTGAAATTTCACATAAATTTCAACTTTAAGCTTGAAAATTGGAAATATCTAAGGAAAAAAGTGAGACCACATTCCCACATAGAAACAATAACCTGAGGCTGAAGAGAGCAGTTGACAGTTTTAAACAGGGACAGAGCCTGGCTGGTCTCTGCAGACTTTTGGAAGTATGAACTTATAGCACCAACTTCTCCTGCTTCTTTTTAGACTCAGAGTCCATCAGCCACCTCCTAACCTACCTACCCTTCCAGACCCCCAAAGGCAAGTTGGTTTTGTTTTTGAACCATGTTTTCTCATCATACAAAAATTTAGCCAGGCACCAGGCACAGTGCCTGGTGGAGAAACAAAGTTGAAATGAATGCTTTCTCTGCACTCTCTTTATCCTTGTCAGCCTCATCTCCAGTCACACTGGCATTCTCTCAATTCCATGAGCCATACATGCTTTCTCTATCACCAGGCCTGGAAGAAACACCACATGCTGTTCTTTCTGCCCACAAAGCTAAGCTCAAACTCCCTTCTAATCATCCTTCACATATAAAATGACATTTCTCAGAGAGACCTTCCCAGATTCCCCTTAGTAGCTTAAAATGTTTCTTTTTCACACAGAGCTCTTTCCCTTTCTTCCTTGCAGTGAATAGATTTGTACTTTCTTCATGTCTATCTCTTGTTCACCACTTTCCAGCATCTAGCCAAGCTAATCAAGCACTTTCATTAAAACTTTCCGTAAGTCTCCTAAGCACGTGTTCACCCAATATGCCCACCCTACCAGCTCCCCCCTGCCCCAGCTCACTTCCTCCACTGCTGCTTCCAAAGCAGAAAAAGAGAGGCTACTGAAAACCTCCTTAAACTTCAAATGGTTTTAGGCAGCAGGTGACAGGCTCAAATTCGCTATTTTAAAAGATTATGCTGACTACAGGATGTGAAATAAAAGAGAAAGGAGTGGATGCGGGAGCCCAGTTAGATTATTTCAGTATACCACTATTCCAGTTCTGGAAGAACTTGGATCCTATACGACTAACTGTGGTTTTTTTCAGTTACCATATTTCATGGTACTTTCCACACCTTCATACATAAAGCGGCATATCACCGCCAAAGCTGTGGACCAGCTGCCCTCCAAGAACTCGGTTCAGTAATGTTCTCTACTCCCCAGTGACAGACCCCGAGCCCCTAAATTCCCTTGGACTGTGCCAGGTGAGTCCTGGGGCCACACTCGGCGCATCCAAGCCCGTCCTACCCGAGGTTGCACACTGGCCGCTCCGGGGTCAATGGTTCTTTGGAGGACTAAATCAAGAGAGTAGCTAAGGGGAGCCGGGTAGCTAAGGAGAAAGGAGGGAGAAGAGGGAGAAACCCTGAAATGCGACGCCGGACCAGGGAATCGAGAACAAGGAACAGGGAACAAGGTTTACCAAAACGAATCCTCGAACACTCCCACTACAGCTTCCCTCAGCGCCTCAACTACCGGCTTAAACGAGCCACGCCACTTGTGCGACAAAGAAAACGCCTTAATCCTGCGACCAGCTTTGGAACCCACCCACCACTTTTAACCATGCCGGCCAATCAGCACAGTGAGGCCTTCAGTCAAGACAGTCACACCCCAACTAGCCAATGAAATTTGAACGTTCTCCCTTCCATACCCAGCTCTGGTTGGCCTACCCTCCCGGAACAGGCGTTAACTCCAGGCTGTAGCAAGATGGCGTCCCTGGATCGAGTGAAGGTACTGGTATTGGGAGACTCAGGTGAGTGGTTTAATCCACCTCTGGGGCTCCCGACACTTTTGAGTTATCCGTTAACCCTCTCCCTTCACTATTCCTCCGCTCCTGCAACGATCCGGCTCCTGCCGTGGCTGAAAGCCCTCTCAAGATCTAAAAACTACACTTCCCAGAGGACTTTGCTCTATTTGACGAAGGTGGCGTTGCGCGGGTGGGGGGCGCCGAGCCCCGGCCTTTCTCCGCCTTCGCAGCTTTCCCAGTTGGTCTCCCAGTTGGTCTCCTTGGCGACCGCAGCCTAGGCTTGTATTGTCAGTTCCTTTGTTTTATAAAAGATATGCAGACATTGTTGGATTGGGCGCTGTGAAGTTGGGATCGGGCCTTCAAGAGATTGTGTTCATTACGGAATTCAAACATGCACTAATGAGAATGACACTGTTCCAAATGCTTTACATATATCAAGTCATTTAACTTGATAGCAGCCCTATTAACCCCATTTTACAGTTGAGAAAAGTGAAGAGGAGAGAGGTGAATGACAGAACCTGCCCACGCACCTAGACACTAAGGCATATTATGAAATGAAATATTGGGTGGTAGCCCTGTTTTACTCTCAGCTGGGTTTCTTGATTTCTTCGTTCTCTGTAATCCTAATTAAAAACCTATTATGTGCTAGTTTGTAAGAAATAGAGTAATTAAGATAAAGCTGTATTATGAAACAGCTGGGATTTAATGCTGAGCTCAATTTAATCCTAGCGTTAAAATTCTTTTGACGCCTTGAACTTTTGAGAACTAAAATTGAAGTCTGCATTTCCCCCTCCCACCTCTCTACCCTCCTCTTTTTTATCATAACTTCCACTTCTGTGCTCTTTAAGAACTTGGAATAAATGCTAACCTTGCATTTCGTAGATGTGCTTTTCTGGAGTTGACCTATGAATGTGTGTTGTGACCAAAGACATTGTACCAGATGCTTGGAGGTGGAGAGAATATACCCCAAACAGCTTGAAAACTAGCCTTTCAGACTGTGTACAATTGTGGTGGAGAGGAGGAGGTTAAGAACGTTTCCACATTGCCTGGAGATTATTTGCATTGCAAAATATTTTATAGATAGCATTATTTAATATTCCCTTAAGAGAGTTGCATTATGAAATTCTGTGAATATAATCCAGTTTGTCAACTCCAGTTCTTTAGCTTGAAGTGGTGCTGAAATTAATTTAATGAAGTCACTCAGTTTTATATAAATGAATAAAGTAATGATGGTCTAAATGGACTTGGCAAGAGTATCACCAAGTAGAATTTGAGACTGGAATCCAGAGCTAACATGGTTCATGATACCTGAAGTAGGTGTTCTCTCTCATTTTTAATTCACTTTTCTATTGCATCTAACAAGCCCCTGATGTTACATATTGTTGGAACTAGTCGATTTTTTCTTTTTCACAAAAATTACTTAAGTATCTGCTACACAGCAGGCACTGTAGTAAGTGCTGAGGCTATAACTGTGTAATTGATGCGTTACATAACAGGGTTGAATTAGCTGCTGCATTAAATGTGGAAAAGTGATCAGGCAATTAGTAAGCTTTTCTTTTTCCTTTCCATGCCCACTTGGTTGATCTTGTCATACATTCACGGATGTTAGGCTATGTGTGCAGTCTGTTACTGCCTTTTTATCAGTTCCTTTTTAACATTGATTTACTGACAGGTAAGGATATACTTTTTACACTTCATCAGCCTTTGTATTCAAACTTCCAAGTTTACTTTTGAATAAAGGCTTATTTCCCCTGTGAAATTTTGAGGATTTCACAAGTATAGAAAAGAATGACTTGAAATTTAGAGATGTGTTTTGTATCCCCTAGAGATACTTGATAATTTAGTAAGGAATCCTGAAAGTCTTACTAATACACACATACTTTTTCCCTCTTTGTTCTTTCAGAGATAAGGGATGAGCTTAACACATTACCAACAATTATATTTGGAGCTGGTATTTATTTAATAAATTATATTGGACCTTTTTCCCTCAAGCAAATCAAGTGCATTCTTTTGATCTAATTTGATTGTAATGGTGAAAACAGATTTGGTACCTCCCAAAATTCTTAAAGAAATGAATAGTTTGCCAATTTTCCTGGCACTTCCTATTCTTACTGTTTACAGTCTATCCAGTGTTAGTCAATTCTTTTTTTTTTTTTTTAAGATTTTATTTATTTATTTGACAGAGAGAGCGAACACAAGCAGAGGGGGTGGGAGAAGCAGGCTTCCCACTGAGCAGGGAGCCCGATGCGGGGCTCGATCCCAGGACCCTGGGATCATGACCTGAGCTGAAGGCAGACGCTTAACGACTGAGCCACCTAGGCACCCCCAGTGTTAGTCAATTCTTATCACCCAAAGCAGTTAATTCATGGAGAACTGTACAGTATTACTTCATAGATATGTTTACTGACACAGTTATGCTTAACTGGAAGTTCAAGCGTTGCATCAGGCTGATAACTAAGTTCTTAGATACATGCCTCCAACCTAAAAAGCCTACATGCAAACACAGAAATCAACAGTGTGTCCTAAAGGTCACAGATATTAGATGCAGTGCTGTAGATACAAAGAGCCAAATTTGAATACTCAAAAATCTTAATTGTCTGTATTGAAAAAAATAAAAAGAATTAAAGGGAAACCTGGGAAAATACTGGATTCAATTACGTCAGACAGCTAATGTAAAGAGAGGTTATGTAAATTGATAACACTAAAAGCCATTAGATAAATGGGCAGAGAACATCAACAGATAATTCATAAGAAAGGAAAGACAACTGATTAACAAAGATAATTGTAATGTAGATCTTTACCAGAAGGTAAAGAAATGTAGACTAAAGCAAGGTGTCACTTTTTTTCTTTTATCAAATTAATATAGATAAAAAAGAAACAACATACGTACTGTTGAGGTGCAACAGGACCTGCAGGCTTATGTGTATGACTGGTAACAGAGTAACCAGATGAAAGTTGTCAACATACATCAAGAACTTGAAATGTTCATTTCCTTTTATATACTAATTTCGCTTCTGGGAAAATATACTAAGGAAATAATTTTAATTTGAAACAAAAATTTGAACAGTCCTCTCTTAGCATAGTGAAAAATTCAAAACACCCTACATACCTAATTATGAGAGGGAATGGTTAAGTAAATTGTCTACTCTCTGAACTACTGTGGAGACATTAAAAATGTTTATGAAGATTCTGTAATAACATGGAAAATTTTAGCCACTAAATAAATACTAATTAAGGCCCTGTTCTGAATACTGGAGATACAAACGATGAGTAAAACCCAGTTCCAATCCTCAAAGAACTTAAACAGGGTGAGTAAAACCTATAAACAAAGAAGTGTAATAATGTGTTTTCAGTGCTTTGTAAAAAAATGTGCAGAGTACAGTGGAGACCGAGAGGATGGTGGATAGTGTCCTTAGTTCTATCTCTGTGGAATTCAAAAGGACTTTATAACTAGAAAGATCCTGCGTCTTGAAAGATTAATTCACCAGGCCAGTGGGGAAGGGGAAATGACCAGGGAGAATGGGGAGGATATTCCAGACAGAACCAGCTGTACAAGCAATGGCCTATATTGTATTGTTTTTAAGTACACCATGTACATATTCACAATAACAACTTGCTTTTAGAAGAACCCTGCTTGTGATATTAAATGAACTTACAAGTTGCTCAAAGGGCTCTTCAGGGAATTTTTCCTTTTTTTAAAAATTCTTTCCAGATTGTCTCTAAATACAACTTTTTATAATAAACATAACTGATAGATTCATACACAGTAATACACACAAAGAGATGGTCTAAATTTTTGATACAACTAGTGTTGCATAAAGATTCACCAACTATGCTTGTTATAATGACATCCCAAAATGCTGTCAATTGAGTGAGTGACTCTACATACAGGTATACAGAAGAACTCATCCTCTTTCCTCTTCATACAGATGTCCTAATGCTAGTTCTGGCATTAATAACTACACTACCTTGAACCCAAGAGATCTATAAGAAAATAAAGTGCCGCCTTAGAAGAGGGAATAGAGTATTTCTCTTTTTCCAAAGGGTATGGTGTGACCACCCTTTAAACAACCATACTTTACATACCATTATTACTGGCATATGCTCAGACTTAACTTTTGTCATGATAAATATTTCAGCATATCTCTTATTTGACTAGAGTTCTTATATCTTTTACAGGTGTTGGGAAATCTTCACTGGTTCATCTTCTGTGTCAAAATCAAGTCCTGGGAAATCCATCATGGACTGTGGGCTGCTCAGTAGATGTCAGAGTATGTGTTTCTGATATTTTAGTTTTTCTGTAGTCATATTAAAGATAAGTCCTTTAAACTACATGCTCAAATTACAGTACTGTAGTCAAAACTAATAATAATAGCTGGGCTTTATTAACCACCTGCTCTGTGCTAGATACTATGCCAATTAATTACCTTACATGTCTTTCCTAACTTTTTAAACTGTGAGGTATAACTGCAGAAACTAAGGCATAGAGAAATAAAGTACCTTGATCAAATTGACTCAGTGCAATAAAAGCAAAGTCAAGATTTGCTCCTGGGATGCCTGGATGGCTCAGTCGGTTAAGCATCTGCTTTCAGCTCAGGTCATGATCCCAGGGGTCCTGGGATCGAGTCCCGCATCAGGCTCCTCGATCAGTGGGGAGCCTGCTTCTCCCTCTGCCTGCCGCTGTCCCTGCTTGTGCTCTCTCTGACAAATAAATAAAATCCTTAAAAAAAAAAAAAAGAGTCAAGATTTGCTCCTAAATAGTCTTAATCCAGTCTACCACCATACCACCCTGAATGGACCCAATCTTGTCTAAATAGTTTTAATCCAGGGAGTTCAGTTTTAATTACTGTGCTATATATCTAGAGTTCACTTAACATGCTCCATAAATAATTCTATCTAATCCTTTTGCCCTAAAAGAGACAACTTTTGGCTAGAAATATATGTAAAGGCAAAAGCTTCTGGAGCCTTGGGTGTAGGTGGGTCATCTATTCCACCTCACATTTAGGAAACTCAGGTGCAGTTTCCACCAAATTAACTGTCTTCCCAGATACTGTTGGTCTTTGCTAATCCCAGCTAGTCCTATCCAAATGTCTCTTCTGCTAGCATACATCTCTCCATTGAGTTAAAAATAAATAGGGAAGGAATGGCAGTTAGCTCAATTGACAATTATTTTCTTTTAGTTCTTTGAAGCTATTGTTCCACAGACTGTGACTTACATTGCTGCTCATTGGAAATCTTTTGTCAGCCTAATTATTATTCCTTTGAAGGTAATTTCTTCTCTCTAGTTGCTTTTAAAAGATTTTTTTTTTTTTTTTGATGTTCTGTAGTTTTACCAAAACATGTCTAGGTATGGGTTTGTTTTTAGTCATCCTATCAGAAGGTTGTGCCTCTACAACTGTCTTCATTTTTCAGAATTTTTAGCCATTATCTATTGTCTTCCTTCATTCCCTCTATCTCCTTTTGCACTTCTGTTAGATTTTTGTCCTCTGTATCTTTTAATTGTAATTCCATGTGTTCTGTTCTTTATTTCTTCTTTGTGTATTCTGGATCACGTACTCATATCTGCCTTCCAGTTAATTAAGAATCTCTTCAACTATGTCTAATCTGCTTTTTAATATATCCACTAAGTTTTTCATCTTTGTAACTGTAATTTTTTATTTCTAGATACTCCTTTTGGTTCTTTTTCAAATGTCAGGATTTTTCACGATATCCTAATCCTTCATTATGGCTTTACTTCTTGTTTTAATTATTTTCAACATATTATTTTATGGTTTCTTTTGGATTTTTTTTTTTTTTCTGAGTGGGTAGTAGATAGTCTAACTTGCTGTGTATCTGACTATGCTTCATGGAAATGTATCTCTTTGTATGGTTTATAATTCTTTGAAGATGATCACATTTTCAGCAGGATTTTTTTCTCTCTTCTCTGTGGAAGTTCTGTATGCTGTGTCATGAAAGTACAGTAACTTTTCATTTCTGTTGCTTCCAGAGCTCTAGGGATTTCAATGGAACTTGTAATTTCAAAGCTAGGAGTTTCTGTGCCATCTAGATAATGTATATTCTCTAAATATTTGATTACAGTACAGGCCTGTGGTTTCCATTTTTTTGTGGACCCTTTATCTATCCTGTACCAACCCTACCTAGGGTCCCTGACAGAAAGTTTTTCCTGCTTTCCTGAGCCAGTGGATAGTTTTTCCTACTCTCTTTCACTGACTGGGCTGGATTTCATGAAGGGAACTATCGTCTGGTCTTTGTCACTCACCTATGTATATTCTTTCCTTAAAAGCCAGAAAACAGATCTCTATTCGTGGATGGGCACTGAAACTCCAGGGACTGGCCCCTGAAGCTATCTCTGAATCTGGGTCAGTTCCCACTTCTCACTCTGATTTTAAGTTCATTTCTAGCATCTGAGGATTTCCCTTTCTTTTTCTTGAGCTTTTCCTCTTTATTTTTTACAAACATTTTTATGGCATTTCTGTGAACTTGAAGTCAGAATGTCTGGGAATGTCTGTGTCATTTCAGCCTGCCATGTTCCTAAATTCTTAGCTGTAGAAGAAAACAAATACTAGATAATAAGTTCAGTTGGCAACTTATCAATAGCAAGTTCTGGACAAAATTTCCTTATGGACTTTTCTAAATCCCTTTCTGTGAGAGAACATAACATATTGAAAAGAAGAGAGATATGAAAAGATATTTCTCCAAAGAAGACATCCAAATGGCCAACAGACACTTGAAAAATGCTCAACATCACTTGGCATCGGGGAAATCCAAATCAAAACCACAATGAGATACCACCTCACACCAGTCAGAACGGCTAAAATTAACAAGTCAGGAAATGACAGATGTTGGCAAGGATGCGGAGAAAGGGGAACCCTCCTACTCTGTTGGTGGGAATGCAAGCTGGTGCAGCCACTCTGGAAAACAGTATGGAGGCTCCCCAAAGAGTTAAAAATAGAGCTACCCTACAACCCAGCAATTGTACTACTAGGTATTTATCCAAAGGATACAAACGTAGTGATTTGAAAGGGCACGTGCACCCCAATGTTTATAGCAGCAGTGTCCACAATACCCAAAATATGGAAAGAGCCCAGATGTCCATCGACACATGAATGGATAAAGAAGATGTCATGTGTACACACAGACACACACACACACACACACACACACACACACTGGAATACTACTCAGTCATCAAAAAGAATGAAATCTTGCCATTTGCAATGACATGAAAGGAACTAGAGAGTATCATGCTAAGTGAAATAAGTCAGTCAAAAAGACAAGTACCATATAATTTCACTAATATGTGGAATTTAAGAAACAAAACAAATGAACATAGGGGAAGGGAAGGAAAAATAAAAAGATGAAAATAGGGAGGCAAACCATAAGAGTCTTAACTCTAGGAAACGAACTGAGGGTTGCTGAAGGTAGGTGGGTGGGGAGAAGGGGGAAATTGTGTGATGGGCATTAGGGAGGGCACTTGATGTAATGAGTACTAGGTATTATACGCAATGGATGAATCACTAAATTCTACCCCAGTAACTAATAATACAGTATATGGTAACGAAATTGAATTTAAATAAGGAATTTAAAAAAAAGAAACTTAAACTCCCACTTCCTGGGTCAGTTCCCATATTGCCTTTTGCTTCCTCAAGAGTGACCTTAGACTAATCAGTTTACTTCTCTGAGCCTTAGTATATCTTCTGTAGAATAGACGTAAATAATATCTGCTTTAGCTAGCCTGCAGGTTTGTAGGTGATGTTATACTGTGACTGATTTTACCAGAATGAGTGTGGCACTAATTGACTCGTATAAAGCCAGATGGCCTGAATTGCGTTATTGCTAAAGAATGGGCATGTGGAGGTGAAAGTTACCTTGCTTTTATTACTCTTCAATGTATCTTGGGCTGGTTGGCCTCTGTCTTCCATCTTTGGCAAGAATGAATTTCTTGAATGACAGTATAAGTAAAAGGCATTTTTAAATGATAAGGAAAGTTGCCATAGACATGTAAATTGTTTTGACTATTGTTATAATAAAGGAAATAGTTCTTTGCTCTAGCAAGAATGATTAAATCTGATAAAACCATTACCTAAATAGCTTGGAAGAACACTTCTGTAGCAGCTTTAAATTGCAGTTACAGTTTCTGTGTTATTGAAACCTGAGAGAGGGTATCTCCAGAATCCTTGTAGATCCATGAATACACCCTCTTCAAAACTCTTAGAAACAATAGCCCCATTTAGCTCATTTCACATCTAAGAGCCAACTAAATAAAAATAGAGATGATAAAGGTGATAATATAATTGTTTAATTTCAAGTACTGGGTGAAACTAATGAGCTTAATGTATGTACTCAGTAATTATTAACATTTTGGATTTAGTATGTGGTGGAGAGGTGTTCGTACTGAATTGAAGGGAAAAGAGAGAAAAGTTTTACTTTGCAGTATTCTTCATTCATTACTGTCTTCTAATTTTGTTGCCCCAAGTCTAATGGGACTAATATAAATGCATGGTACTCTTAATTATGAAAACAAGACTTACAGAATCTGATCTTTTCACAGATTATAAATAAGGAAATTGACTTGTCATTTCTAGTTCACTTTAATGGGATTTTAACTTTCTAATTTACACATTGCATACAATCAATATTTATTGACTTCCTCTTTGAGCAGCATAATAATGTGCAAGCACTGGGGAGAAACTGAAAAAGAAAACACAATCTCTATCCTCGCTAAGAATGTGAAGTAAGATCTAGTAGGTGGGTTAAGATATGAATGATTTTAGAAATAATACGAATGATGGCTAATATTTCTTAGTGCTTACTTTGGCTAGGCACCCATTTTACATACTAATTCATGTAAGTCCCACAACAACCCTTCAAGGGTGATACTATTATTTCCCCTATCTGATACACAAAGGAGTGGAGGTACGGAGGTGTTAAATGTCTTGTTCAAGGTCACATTGCAAGTAAGTGATAGGGTTGGGATTCAAACCCAAGCAATCTGGTTCAAGAGCCTGTGCTCTTTTTTTTTTTTTTTAATTTTTTTTATTATGTTATGTTAATCACCATACATTACATCATTAGTTTTTGATGTAGTGTTCCATGATTCATTGTTTGCATATAACACCCAGTGCTCCATGCAGAACGTGCCCTCCTTAATACACATCACCAGGCCAACCCCTCCCCTCTAGAACAGCACTGCTCTGTACTGCCTCTTGTTCCAGAATGGTATTAAGAAAAAAGCATTCCACTGCTGTTACATACAGTAACCACTAGACTGATGTGCCAATTTAAATTTAAGTTAACTGAAATGAAAAATTTAGTTCCTCAGTGGAACTAACCACATTTGAATGCCCAACAGTCACATGTTGCCAGTGGTTACTATACTGGACATTTCTATCATTACAGAAGGTCTTGAGACACAGCACTGATAGAGAATATAAGTGTTAACAGCAGTTCAAGAGAAAAAGTGAGGTGCTTATAAAGAATGGAAAATTATATTGGGTCTTAATGACTGAATGGACTATTTCTCAAGAACGGGGAGATATAGATAGATAGATAGATAGATAGATAGATAGATAGATAGATAGATAGATAATAGGTAAAGGAGAAGTAAATGATAATAAATTCAGTTCTGGACATGATGAAGGGAGAGATCTGTGAGCTATCCAACTGAAACTGTCAGAAGGCATTCAGAGATGAGGTGGGGAAGCTCAAGAGAGAATTCTGAGTTGAAATCATCTGCATGGAAATAATCCCAGACCATGAGAGTTGATGAGTTTTTTCAAAAAGCAAATTTAGAAAGAGAAGAGCCAAGGGGAAACCTTGGGGTATATTTGGAGAGTTGCAGATGAGAAGAGAGGTCCAAGAAACATTGATCAAAGAGCTAAGAGGATAGCCAAGATGATGAAATACCAGAAGAGTAAAGGGAGATGAGAATGTCATGAAGGAAGGATTGAGTTTTGACAATGAAATGCTGTAGACGTAGAAGGACTGAGAGAGAAAAAAATTGGTGGTAATGAAGTCATTGCTGACCTTTGAAAGTGCGATGGAACGTTAGTGGCAGAAACCAAATGCTGTGAGTAGGCGGAGAGGAAATAGAGATAGGTTTAAATCAATCTTGCACAAAGTTTAAAAGTTAAATAAAGGAGTGAATGGGCACAGAATACAAGAGAAAAGTGACTTTAAAAAAAAAGAGGGGACATGAGTTTGGCTAAAGGCAAAATCAGCTTATTAGAAAGGAAGAGGCAATTAGCAGTAACCTTCATATTATTCATTCATTCATTTGTTCGTTTAGTACATACATTGCCTACGCACTAGGTATCAGGAATTGGAAGTATAGCAGCAAATTAGATGAGTTCAATTCCTACTCCCCTAGTACACTCTCCTAGTTGCTCTTTGCTATCTTTGTCTCTTTTCTCCCAACTTTCTCCTAAGACCTCCTGCCTTCCTGCCTCTCTTGAGTAACTCTGCAGGCATACATACTAAACCACACTATTAGAGAGCATCTACAGCATCCAGTGTTCTTTCTTGATGTGTATCATTTTCTTTACTAAGTTTCTTTCTGCTTTTTATTTACTTATTTTGGGGAGGGGTACAGTATGTTTTATTGATGGTACATGACCCTTCTTTAGGGGGTCTGGGATGGAAACTGTAGAGGTCAGGAGATTCTCAGGGTTTGGGGGGATGAAGTAGGGCAGGGACTCCTCATCAGCTGAGGCCCTCTCTCTTCCTATTGCTGTCACTGGCACTGGTGGTCCAGGGACCTCTTATTCCTTGGAGGCCATGTCGACCATAAGGTCCACCACCCCATTGCCATAGCCAAATTCATTGTCATACCAGGAAATGAGCTTGCCAAAGTGGTCATAGAGGGCAATGCCAGCCCCAGCAGTGACATGTAGTATGAAAAGTGTTAAGGATCACTCTTAAGTTTTTGGCCCTTTAAGTAACTGGAAAGATGGAATTGCCTTTTACCTGGAGAAAAACAGGCTTAAGAGGAAGATTAGGAAATTATTTTCAGGTATGTTAACTTTTAGATGCCTATTAGACATCCAAATTGTAGTCTGGTAGATATGGTAGCCTGAAGTTCAAGGGACTAGTCCAGTTTGGATATAAATTTGGAATTCATCAACATAATGATGACACTTAAAATCATAAGATTAGATGAAGTTGTCAAGAGAGCCAGTATTAATAGAGAAGAAAAGAGATCCAAGAACTAAAGCTTGGGACACTCTAACAATTAGAGGTCAGAGAAGTAAAGACAACTCAAATGGAGACTGATTAGCCAGTGAAATGGGAAGAAAACCAGGAGAGTGTGATAACCTGGAAGCTAACTGAAAAAAGTATTGCAATGCAGAGGAGTAGTTAGTTGTATCAGATGGGAGAGTAAGATGGAAACTGCTCACTGATCACTGGATTTAGCAATGTGGAAGCCATTGGTGACCTTGATAAGGAATATTTCAGTAGATGATTGGGGCACAAATGTGATAGATTCGAATGAGTTCAAAAGAGAACGTAAGGAAAAGAATTAGAAACTATTGAGAATAGACAACTCTCTAGAGGGCTTTTGCTATAAAAAGGAATAGAGAAGTGGTATGAGAGCTGGAAGAAGACATGAGGTCAAGAAAAGGTTATTTTAAAATGGGAAAAGTTATAGCATGTTTGTATGCTGGTGGAAGTAATTCAACAGAGTCGGAAAATTTGATGATAAAAGGGTGAATTGATAGAACTACACCTTTGATAAGAAAAAGGAGATGGGATTCATGTATAAGAAGGGAGTTTAGCCATGGGGACACAGTTTATCTGTAATGGCTGAAGGGAAAGCAGATTATATGGGCACAGATGCAGGGAGGTGGATAGATATATGAAGAGCAGGTTGTAGAAATTCTCTTCTGATTGCTTTTGTCTCAGGAAGAAAGGGTCTTAGCTGTTCTTAAGGATAGGGAAGAGATACTGGAAATTTGAAAAAGAAGAGAAAATATGAAATTGTTATCTAGAAGAGGAAAAGGACTATGAAACTGATTAAAGGACAGCTCCAAAGGTAGACTTGAATTTAAAATGAATCTAGTCAGCTTGAAAGTGTATTTTTCTGAGCTTCTCATCCAGCTAGCTGGGTTACAGACATGGAATTGGGGGAAAGGTGGATATAGTCAAGGTTGGAATTTTGTCTGTTAAATACAGTGTGAGAGGGGCAAAGGAGGGACTAAAATGATGAATCATGGAATTTATACTTAGGAAGGAAGTGAGGATTTAGAAGTGGAAGGAGATCTGTAAATTATGATTTTTTGGAGATTATTATTGTTATGGAATATATATGTATATATAGGAGGATTATTATGAGAGTTGGAGTATTGGAGGGAGGAAGCTTGAAAGACAGAAGGCGATCAGAGTCAGAGGTGGTATGGGAATGATATGAGTCATGCGAATATGGAATGTCCAGTGCTCCGAACTAGAATGAGGGTGCTACCAGTGTTCTTAGTGGCTATAATAATTATTTTGATGGATTGATTTGTTAGGTTCATGACTACAAAGAAGGAACCCCAGAAGAGAAGACCTACTATATAGAATTATGGGATGTTGGAGGCTCTGTGGGCAGTGCCAGCAGTGTGAAAAGCACAAGAGCAGTGTTCTACAACTCTGTAAATGGTAAAGCATTTTTTATTTCTACCATATATTAATGGCCTAGGAGTATGGATAATCTAATATAGAATGCTGTGGAATGCTAGATACATATTATTTTAGGAAAGATCTAATATACTCACAACTCTTAATTTAAATCTGCGTATCACATTTGAATTATGTGTTTCTAGATTCTAACCATGTTATTCAGATCATTAAATATTTTCTGTGTTTAAGTGTTTTTATTGATATTTTTGTCATAAACTAAATAAATAAAATTTTATTTTGGGTCCTTGACATAAAACCTGGAACTTTCAAAACACTGTCCACTGGGAGTGCCATTTCTCCAGTCAGTTGAGTACATCCAATAGAAAGAACCATTAGGAGTCCCATAGTCTGAACCAGATGTCACAGAGATACAGGGATTTCTTTTATCTGCCCCTTAGAAAGAACCCTACATAATTATAAAGAGCTGCCTAAGAGTGTTATTAGGGGTGCAGATAGTCAAATACTTGGAGCAGACTTCTAGATGGAGGTGTGTAATAGAGGACATAATTGGAATTCATAGGGTGCCTACTGTGTCAAGGGACTAAACCACTGACACCTGTAATTTGCCTCTAGAGGTTTTTTTGTCTTCTGCCTGTTTTTTAGTTCATTTTTTAAATGCTTTTTTTTACTGTGTAATATAATTTCAACTTGTCTCTGATTGATGTCCAAGAGTGGCACCTCACCCTTTTCCTTCTGGTAGGTGCTTAACTCTTAATTGTACCTCATTTATACTATGCTTAGATCACACTCAATATCAGGTAAACATTGCAATTATTCAGTACCTTCTTCATTCCTTATATTACTCTTTCAATATCGTATCTTTCCATATCATAAGGTGTTGTGGATACTACAAAATGAAGTAGAGAAGGTACTTGCCATTGGATACATACTATAAAATACAGGATGAGTTATATTAGTTCAGACCTGTGTCCCATTTAGCTCAGAATTCTATCTAAAAGTGTCACAGTCTATTTGAAGAAACAAAACATAAGTGAAACAAAACATAGTTATAAGATGGTGACACTAATATATGACATTGTCATGCAAGAAAGTACATGATAAATGGCATATATTAATAGAATGTATATAAATGCGAAAAATAGACTGATATAGTGTTAGGTGACTTCTTAGAGAATCAGAAAGAAAGAAATGAAGCCTGGTTTAGATCTAGAATCAAGTGATAAGCTTGGATTATATCAGTCAAATGACTTGTCAAAGTTGATATCAATCTGATCTGACAGAGAAGTTTGGATATATAATACTTTTGCCTTTTAGATCTTTTTGAGAAAGAGTTCAGATAAAAATTATAAATAAATAATAAACTTCACACTGAAGGTTCTTTACTCCATCTACCATCCTTAGTTTCCTAAGAAATGGAGCATAAGGATCACTCCACTCCAGTGTGCAGCCTTTGTTCTTAGCAGTAACTTTCTTCCCTCAATACCCTACCTTCCTTCCCACTGTGATGAGCGAGGCTGGCAATCCCTAAAGGAAACCTGTGAAGTGAACTACCTCTTTCTAAGGTCAGAACATATTCTGATCAACTGTCACACTGACTTCTTTCCTTTGGGCCCCACTATGGCCCTTCTAGCCCATAGTCTACAAAGCAAAAACTCTCAGCCCAAATGAAAGTGGGAAAATAAGGGAAAGGGTGCTTAGATGCCCTTAAAAGCTCAAAAGCCTTAAATAGAGATCCTCAAAAAATAAACTCCTCCCTGTCCAACTAATAGCTCATCTAGGCCTTTGTAATTCTTTAATCTCCCAACCAAAAATCTCACCCATAGTTTTTTGATATTTCTGGGAAGTAAGGGAGAGGAGAAAATATCTACCACTCTTTGGCCTTAAAGTGACTTAATTACTGCTTTCCCCCAGTCTTTTACTGTCAGATTACCTGAGTTCAAATTCTGACTACCTCACTTACCATGTGACTTTGGGCAAGTAACTCAACCTCTGTGAGCCTTAGTTTCCACATATGTAAAAGGAAGATGTTAATTCTTTCTCATAAGACTATTTGGAAAAGCAAATTAGATAACACATGTAAGGCACAATGTATAGCACGTAAGTGCTGAATAGATGTTAGCTATATTCTTTAGTGGTAACTCTTTATTCCTTTTTTAAATCTGTCCTGTATCTTGTGTCCTTAATGCCTAATAGAAGCCCTTATTGAGGAAGGTAGAGGGAGTACAGTTGAATATGGGGCCAGTGTCAGATCTCTGTTTCTCTGTTCCAGATGCCAGGGCAGATACAGATCTGAGCTAACTGGAACAAGACAACTATAACCTGCACAAGCACCTTACTTGCACAAATGTCTGTAAAAACCAGAGGAGCCAAGTAATTCTAACTCTTCTGCCCTTCTTTTTCAAATTAACATATCTCACATCTTGAAGATAGAAGAATCATCAGTTTCACATCCTCTCTTCACAGTAGAATCTAGGTAACATAGGAAAGGGTTGGGGGTTTGAAAATCTGTAGTCTTTTGACCACAATATAATACTCTAAATTCTACTAGGCATTAAAGCTTTTCCTCTTTTGTCTATAATATTGTAATAGTTATCTGCTTTGCCGGCCTGCTATCTTATTTGATTCTATTTAATTGTATTTCCGAAATTCATTACATTTTGTTATTTTTCTCAATCTCTCAAAAGCCCATCTGTTTTCTACTATTCATACTTTTTAACTATCTTTTCCTACCCTCTTCTAGTGACATATTACTTTTGCTTTATTAACTAAGGTATTGAGCTTTTTATAGCGAGCCATTAATTCAAATAACTAAAAAATTAGACTTTTGAGTTGATTAGGCTCAGGTGATTTATAGGAAAACATTTTGTCAGCGGAAAAGTAGCAATTATATCAAATTAAATCAATATCTTTTTAGTAAACTTTTATGATTTAATATTTTATTGATTATAAGTAATAGTGTATGTGTGATATCTATGACAGTACTATGCACAGTGGAGAAACAATTAGGAATGTAGGAATATAATTTCTTATATACTTAAAGTACTTTTGATTCCTTTTATTGATGAGGTAGTTTAGTTAGGACCAGGCAGAGCAGGTACTCAGTAAGTGTTGAACGAAGGAAAAAGTCTAAAAGCTAATGACATTTTGTCAGCCCTTGTAGAATTAAAGAATTATATAACTGACAAAGAAAATTTTGTAGTTCATTATTTGTAGGAATTTGCAGAGGAAATTTTAAATTAATTGTGTGAGTTTGCTACTCATACTGAAATGCTAGGTTTATTCAGCAACCTAACGCTTGTATTCACTAAGCTTCCCTTGGCCAGTGTGAAGTAAAGAGGAATTGTTGCAGTACTGACATTATTTTATTTGATTGTTTTAGGTATTATTCTAGTACATGACTTAACAAATAAGAAGTCATCCCAAAACTTGTATCGTTGGTCATTGGAAGCTCTCAACAGGGATTTGGTGCCAACTGGAGTATTGGTAACAAATGGGTAAGCCCAGATTTCTTCACTTGCAGTGTGACATGGTACATCAATCATAAGATTATACCCTCCAGGGGCGCCTGGGTGGCTCAGATGGTTAAGCGTCTGCCTTCGGCTCGGGTCATGACCCGGGGTCCTGGGATCAAGCCCTACATCAGGCTCCTGGCTCAGCAGGGAGCCTGCTTCTCCCTCTCCCTCTGCCTCTCCCCCTGCTCGTGCTCCCTCTCTCTCTGTATCTCTGTGTCTCAAATGAATAAATAAAATCTTAAAAAAGATTATATCCTCCAGAATAACACTTTGTAAGATGTTTGATTTGCAAATTTTTTCTCCCAGTCTGTAGATCGTCTTTCATTCTCTTAACAGTTGTCTCTCAAGCATTAGTTTTTCGTCATCATGCAGTCTGATTTCTTAATTTTTTCCTTTATGTATTATTGTGCTTCTGGTATCATGTCTGACAACTCTGCCTAATCTCAGATCATATAGGTTTTCTCCTGTGTTTCTTTTAGAAATGTTATTGTTGAAGGTTTACTTTAAGATCTGTGACCTGTTTTGAGTTAATGTGTGAGGCTTTGATTGAGGTTGACTTTCATATATGAATGTCCAGTTGTCCCAATACCATTTGTTAAAAAGATGCTCCTTTCTCCACTGAGTTGTTTTTACTCCTTTGCCAAAAATCAGTTGACCATATTTATATGTTTCTGTTTTGAGACTATAATTCTGTACAGTTGATCTGTGTGTCTGTACCTTGACCAATATAACACTGTCTTCATTATTGTAACATTATAGTAAGTCTTAAAATTAGGCAGTGTGGTTCCTTCCTTTTTAAAATTGTTTAGCTATTCTGGTTTATTTGCTTTTCCATATAAATTTGAAATCAACTTGTCTATATTGACAAAAATTCGGCTTGGATTTTGATTGAATTGCATTAAGTCTGTAGATCAAATTGGGGAGAATTTTTGTTGCACCTTCCAATCCATGAACACAGTTCGTCTCTCCATTTATTTTTTAAAGCAAATCCTAGACATTGTATCATTTGTATCATTGTATCATTGTATCATTTCATCTATATATATAGATATACTAGTATAGATATACTAGTATACATCTATACTTCTGTGTTTGACTTTAAATGATAAGGACTTTTTAATATAATCAAAATATAATTGTCACACTTAAAATTTAGCAATAATTCTTCAGTATTAAATATTATTTTAATTCCCCAAATGTCTCATAAATGTTGGTTTGTTCAAAATAGTATATAGATAAGGTCTACTCATTATATTTAGTTTGTTAAGTTTCTTTTAATCTTATGTTCCTCTTCCTTTTTTTTTTTTTTCTTTTACTCCCTGGCAGTTTATTTGTGAAAGATGGCTTGCTTGTTCTGTCCAGTTTCTTGTATTCTGGATTTTGCTGACTGTATCCCTGTAATGAGTGTCTGCTTAACTTGTTTCTCTGAATCCTAAATTTTCCCTAAAATGATAGTTAAAATATGAAAAGAATGTCTAAAAGATGCACGGTTTTTGGTGTTTTGCTCTTGCCAAAGTGGTATTGTACATATAATTACAATAGCTGGTTGTCTGTCTTTTTGTGGTGTTGTCTTGTTACCAGCCTTATCCATCCATGATGAAATTCACCATCAGTTTTTCATCCATTGGTTTTTTAAAAAAAAGGACTTTGAGATCAAATTTCTAGTTGGATGTAAGAGTAATGAAAAAGTGAATAAAAAGAGAAGCTAAAAAGATAAGAGAACAACAATACGGCAACATATCTATGTTACATATGTAATACACATATATGTTAATGTGCAACATATATATCGTGTGCCATGTCTGTATGTTATGTTATACATATAATACCTATATTTATTAATGTATGAGAGATTATACAAGACTACAAGTGACAGAGATATATGTCTACGAAGATGATGGTTGATAAAATATATACAAAAATTTGTATGTGAGCCAGAGTTAGTGAGTATAGGAAAAGGAAATATTCCTAAATATTCTCTAATAAAGCAAATTTCAATTTTAGACAACGTCTCCTAAATTAGTGTTGATATTGGTAAACAGAATCAAAGGCCTTGAACTCAAGCTATCATTGGCTTTGATGCACTAAATAGAATAATAATATTTTTAAGAAATGGTTTAAAAAAAAAGAAATGGAGTGTTACATAGTTCAAAACACCTGTGTTCCAATGCCAAACAATAACTGAGGCTCTGTAAGATTATTGTGAAGGGCAAAAAGATTTGGTAATTCTGCACACACCCACTTACACACCCCCCAGTTTAGCTTATTCGAAGAGAAAGAAAAATGTCAAAGGAGGAAGAAAAGCTATGCTCAACTGGGTTGTATTGATTATATTGTGCAATATTGATTTACTGTCATAAGGTGTTTACAGCGGGATTTTGCTGACTATTGTAAATTGCGCTTATAACATGTCAGAAATCCAAATCTGTTTTATTTCTCATATCTGAATAGAATTTAAACTAATTGATCAACATTGAGCTATATATTCCTTTCAGTAATAGAAGGAACACCACTCTGTCCTTTGGGTAAAAATAGGGGGTGGGGAAGAAGGATTGTAATAGCCAGTGGCCCAAGGCACTGAACCCTAAGTGATTCATATCGCCTGCGCTCTGTCTCCCATGTCTCTTGTGTCAGGACAGACAATTATTTGGCACTTAATTCTTTCCTTTTACTATTCTTTTTGCATTTCAGCTGCTTCTTTTCCTTTCCATTTGTTGAATCCACCTTTCCCCAGACTGTAGTGTTATCTATGGTTGATTTTTCTGGCCTTCAGCCTCCTTGTTCTTAATTTCCTGAAATGATCTATTTTTCTTTACTATTCATAGACAGAAATGTGTATGGTAGGTATAGAACTTATGCATACCCCAGAAGCTTGCCATTTTTTCCTCTGGCAAAAGGTTTGAGTGCCATGCTAGGTTCTTGTGTTTTCGCTCCACTGAGGTTTGAATCCACTCTCTGTATCTACCTAGAAAAATTCCTGAGCTGTTAGCCTCAGAAGACAGAGCTTTGGGAGAAGTCGAGTCATCCTACTTTCAGATACCTGGTGGGCATTCAGTTACTCAAGTAGTCTATAGAGACTCATGAAAATAAAATTTGAGTACTTAGATGAATAGTTGGAACTCTATAGATGGCGAGGATGGGTTGATAAATGAACAAGTAGACGGAAGAAATTGGGACAAAAGTAGGTTTATAGGTGGTGGATGAGCAAGAGTCAGTAAAGTATCAATAAAATAGTATAGGCTACTTGCATTTATTTTTTTTTAATTTTATTTTATTATGTTATGTTAGTCACCATACAATACATCATTCGTTTTTGAGGTAGTGATCCACGCGTCATTGCTGCTGAGCAAGGAGCCTGATGCAGAACTTGATCCCAGGACCCTGGGATTATGACCTGAGCTGAAGGCAGACGCTTAACCGACTGAGCCACTCAGGCGCCCCTTATTCACCTCTTCATTATTATCTATTACAGGGATTATGACCGGGAACAGTTTGCTGATAACCAGATCCCACTGTTGGTAATAGGGACTAAACTGGATCAGATTCATGAAACCAAGCGCCATGAAGTTTTAACTAGAACTGCTTTCCTGGCTGAGGATTTCAATGCAGAAGAAATTAATTTGGTATGTGTTTTCACTAAGGTATATTTGTGTTATCATTAGGTAAAGGCAAAACCAAAGACTTAACAAGTCATAAATTCTCATGAAAGACGCTTTATACAAAAATCAGGCATTTGGGTTCTGGTCCAAAATGTAGTGAATATTAGAATCAACGTAGACTGTCAGATGGGGACATCCAGTTCGACTTCCTTGTATGCTGGTCTGTTGGAATGTTCAAACTTCATTCTATGAATAATATAAATCATGGGCTCTTGAAAAGATTTTTTAAGATCATACCAAAATCAGAATAAATTAAGGTAACAAAGAAGGGTCACTGACACCTTGAGTATTCTTGCTTTAGAAAAGCCTCTCAGCTTATTAAACTACAGAATTTAACTTAAAGGGCAAACAAATAGATAAGTGAGAAAACTACGAAGTGTCAACTAGGAGTGCTTCATGAGCAGTAGTTTAGACAAACTTGTGTGTATAGAGCATTGAGTTTCTTCCTGACATATGTAGTTCAGTTTGAACCGGACGCTAAAAAGGCTAAGAAAAGTTCTCACGTAAGCCAGATCGTGTTGCCCAGAGAAGGATCCTGGCCAGCAGCTTTAGTCCCAGTTTATATGTCATTGTTCACAAGTAGGATTTCTGCAACACATTCAGTGCCCTGGCAATTCCAGACATACGGTGGTAGTGGTGGTTTAATAATACTAATGACTATAGTTTACTGAACACTTACTATGTGCCACGCACTGTTCTAGAGCTTTATGTACATTATCTCAGATTTGTCTTCGCATCAACACTATAAGGTAGGTACTGTAAGTATTTCCATTTTAAAGATGAAGATTAGAACCAGAGAGAGGTAACTAGGCCATGGTTAACACAGGTCAAACCAGGCATTCTGACTCCCGAGCCAGTGCTCTACAATTAAGCCTCTTTTCCACTTAATTATTCTCCAGCTAACATTTAGAATCTTAGAGTTGAAAGAACTCTTAGAAATCATCTAGATCACTAATTACCCAAACCTGACTGCATATTCATGTTATCAATGTAGCTGTGAAACAATTTGAATAAGTGCCCCACAGCTGGAGCTTTTTATTCATAAGGTCTGACAGGAGGACCAAGACTCTATAATGTTAACTAATGGCTCAGATAATTCTGATGCCCTTATCCTGTGAATCAACATTTGTGAACACTGGTTGGTTCAAACCAACCTCTACCCCATAACTGAATCAACTTCTGCTTGCCATTCCATTGTTTTTTACATTCTGCTTTGCAGTGGGGGGTACCTTATTTTTCTCACCTGCCACCATGGAATATTCAGTGGAAATGCCCCAGCTAGTTGCACTGGACTGTGATATTCCAGAGAACTCCTGTTACATAGAGTTTATCATATCAGAAGCAGTGCTGAAGTTACTTTGTTTGAACATTATCTCCAATGGGAAATTACCATTGAATACACTTGATTTGTTCCAGTAATTACTTTCAATGTATTTTGGAATGTATCTATTTGTAATGCCTGTGGGTTTCTGTAACAATCACCTAGATATGTATTTTTCCTGTTTTCCTTTCAAGGTAGGGCCATCTTTTAATTGTTAATAAGGTATAAAGGTACTCAGGTGGTGGTACTTTGGCACACATGGTTTCCACAGAGTTCATATACAACATACTTTTGGCCTGTTATCAGTGTACAGCTTCAAGAACACAGCAGAAACAACAAGAGGGTTTTGAGGATGCAGGGGAAGAAAAAATGAGGAGGAAAATTTGATACGAGTTTCAGAAAGATAGCAGTCAGAAAGACTCAGCAAGTAAGTATAAAGCCTCAAGTAAAATTGTAATGTGACAGTATTAGTGCTAGCATCTTTGGTTACTGTATGAAGTTACTTAAAACTATAAAAAAAAGTAAGAATCATCATAAATGTATATATCAAAGATAGAATCAAAGTTACCATCTTGTGCCTGAAAAACAGGTTGGTTTAAATTATAAATAGGGATGGTTACTTATTTTTTAAAATCCTGTTAGGCTTATTGTGTCTAGGATAGATTTTTCTCTGTTTACTTCAAAGTGATTATATCAAAGTATCTTCCCTAGTTAATATTCCTTTCTCAAGCTTAGACAAGCTATTTAAAACTATTACTCTTCAATCTTTGCCCTCAGCCATGATCACTGGATGGCTCTTTAAACTCTAAAATTCTCATCCTAAAATAATAAGATTTCTCTGGCCTGGTCAACCTGTAACTTTGAGCCCTAGAATTAAGTTTTAGGAGGGTCTGCTTGTTTGCCGTTTGATTTAGTTTTTATATTTAGCACTATAGCCCTATTTGTAATCATCTCTGAAGTCTTGACATTGTGATGACTATGTAATCAATATCTATTTTGTAAAACATGCCTAACACGAGTCTCCCTCAGGTTTGTCTCTTATGTGCCCCAACTGCTGTATAAATGTGTTCAGACATTATTTCAAGTATAACAGTTTCCACGATGATGTTTCAGTCTATTTGATCCATACATGGAATTAACTTTTACTATGTTAGGTGCTTTGGTGCCTGAAAATTCAATCTGATAGCATTTTCTTAGAATGAAAAGAGAAGGGAACTAATATTTCAGTACCTGCTGTGTATGTGCCAGACATGCATTGACTTATTTAATTTTCACAAAAATCCTGTGGAATAAGTATTATGTTATCCTCATATCACAAATGAGTAAGCCCAAATTTAAAGGCATAGTAACCTAACCAATGTCACATAATCTAGAGATGTTGGGACAGATACTCAGATTCAAAGCTTGCTGGCTTCAAAGACCTAATTTTTCTAGTACTCTGTGATTTTTGAAAAGTTTGTTGTAGGCTCTTTTGTGTGTGTGGTTTTGGAAATGTATTCTAGCTTCCAGCCAAAATTAAAAATGTGAGCCTCGAAATGTTACATGTGGATAAAATAGGTGATTATTACAAAATTTACCAGAAAAGAATCATGTGGGCTTAGAGATTACAAAACAGAATAAATGCAACAACAGTGATTGCAGTAATTGCCCAAGGGACACAGACCATCTGCAACTGAAAGACAAATACCGTCTTTGTAAAGGAGCCTACACGCTATCTTCAGAGTTTGGTCTTAGATGGCATTTGAAGTAAAATTCAAAATGCTCTCTCTTGAGGTGGTAAGTTAATTATTACAAGCAAAAGCAACTTAACATTGAATTTCCCAGTAAAGGATAATAAACCTTTTGAGGTCTTCACTGATCATTGTAATTTACTAGTTATCTCATTGTAGTGTTCCAGATTGTTTGGTCTCTTCTGGGCCCCATTTTTTTCCTGTTTTTCAAAATCCTATTTAATAGTAATATATCTATTATTTATTATTATTTAATTGCCATTAAATAATAATACTTAATGATATTTAATAATAAACTTACTCTTTATTGTTTATTATTATCAAAAAATATATCTATGTCATGTATTATCTTTATGGCCTACCAAATGGTGTAGTACTTTGCATTCAATGAGTGAGAAATCCCTGGCAGCTGTTCTGTGTGTTCTTTGCTCCCCTAACTCCGTATTTTCATGATTCCTGCTCTTCATATGAACTGCGTAGTACTTAATTAGATGATGCCGGTGGGTAACTAGTACTAAAAAATGAAGTGTTAACAGTTTTTAATGGCTCTGTTTCTGCTTTTAGGGTAAATGTAGGTAGGTCACATGATTAATGTCTTGGTTTTATTATTAGTAAGATTAGCAATCTTGTCTTCCTTTATGAATTATTTGATGATGAATACATTGGTTCAATGTCCTTTAAAATTCAGTAAATAGCAAAACATGGCCTTACCTTCCTTTAGCACTTTCCTCTTTGCTTTGTGTGTCATAACTTGAAAATTACTTGAATATTTTATGAGAGTATAATGCCTAACATTTTATTATAGAAATGTGCAACAGGAACAGTAATGGCTAACAAAGAGCTTATGTTTCTTAACTTTTAATGGTGCATCTTGTGTTTTATCTTCTAGGATTGCACAAATCCACGGTGCTTAGCTGCAGGTTCTTCCAATGCTGTCAAGCTCAGTAGGTTTTTTGATAAGGTAATAGTTTCAATTAAGTTTTTTTAACTTAATTTATATATTATGAGGGTTTAAATTCTTTGTAGAATGCTTTGTCCTTTTTATTCCTTCGTCTTGAACTTCATAGCCTGAATACTTGTTTTGATCTCTCTTATCTGTTGGTATAATTGCTCAAGGCCTGCTGACGTATTTATTTTATCACCAGTGTTCTCTGAGCAAAGGATGAGAGCTACTGGATTTAAATGAGCTGTGATTTCCCTCCTTAAAACAAATTATGTTTTCCTGTTTTCCAGCTCTTTTTGTCCTTATTCACATCCCCTCAACCCCCACAAACCCAGGAGATTCTGCTCAGTTGAAGCCCTGAGTTCTTTTTGCTCTCTCAGCTGTTATTATTCTCCCCATAAATGTTACCTTTACTTTTAAGGTTATGTCATCTCCTAGATTCCCTGATTTTCCCTATCCGAAAGCTTGCATTCCAAATATTGACTCTTGCTAACATCATCTTATGTCCTGAACTGGAATGAAAATGTAGAATGACTCAGCATACTGGGAATTTAGAGCACTGTTTGTCTTTCCTTCACAAGGCCGTATGGCTGTCTCACACATAGTGTTGACCAAGCTTAAGGTGTTTGCCTAATGTACGACATGACATAGTGAAGTAAAAGAGAATGTATTTCTGTATGCATTATGGAAAAAGATTAATTTCTGTATTACATTTCCTTTTAAGAGAACAAGAAAGACACAGCCCTTCTCATAGCTCTTCTTTATGAATCGTTTTTCTTTTACCATCTAGGGACCTAATAGTTGGCCCTTTTGTCCATTATGTCATGTTAAGATAAGCCCCACACCCCTCCCTGTTTAATATTAGACCACTGGGAAATTTTTGCTTCATCGCACAACTTCCCAACTGGAGTGTGGCAGATACATTACAGGTGTGCTGACATAGTGAGTCCCTCAGTTCAAGCAGCCAGAGTCCCCCAGGCTGAGTAATCGGCAACCCCCTTCATTTAACCCAGTGTGCTGTACGAATATTCGTATTTTCTAAATGTGCCATGACATGCAAAATGTTGGGAAGCACTGCAAGAGACCGTATTTTCTCTCCACATTATTTTCAGACTTCAAACTTAAGAGCTGCCATTTAGTGTAGACCCATGTCCCCATCTGATACATTCTTCTGTCCCCTGAGAGCGACAGCTTATATAAATCTTTGTCTGACACAGAAAGATTCCACAATATGGTGCTTGAATTTGTTAATAATTTGTTAATTTGGAAGTTCGTGAAGGGAATAAAATGATACAAACTTTCAGTTATAAAATGTATAAATCCCAGGGTTGAAAAGTGCAGAACAGAGAATATACTCAATAATATTTTAATAACTTTGTGTGGTGACAGATGGTGACTACACTTATTGTAGTGAGCATTTTGCAATGTATATAATTGTCAAAGTACTATGTTGTAATAACCGGAAACTAACATAATATTGTATGCCAACTATACTTCAATTAAAAAATAAAAATTTTTTAAATATGTAGTAAGTTAGATCCTAGAGAAACAATGGGTGATAGACTAGTGTGACCCAAGTTGTCAGCCAAGACTTGATATTAAAAAAAAAAAAAATCAGAGGGAGCTTGGTGAGTTTTAAGAAGAGAGCAAGATTTGGTAAGAGAAGACACTGCAAGTTGAGAGTAGGGAATTACGAGCAATAGCAAAAAGGTAGCTTCTCTTTCATTACCTAAATCGCCATGAAAGGTATATGGATTAGGAGGTTGGCCTGACCTCCAGACTAGGGTGGTTGCCTGAAACCATAGGACCCGGCAACTAAATTTTGCCCAGTTTTCAGTCATATCTTCCAGAATCTAATATAAAGATGTATTTTCCAAGAGGGAATCTAGCTCTTCCTCTAGACTCCCTTTAGTAGTAATTCCAACCCCACTCTAGAATGATAGGATTTTCCTGACTTGCTGTGGAGGGAAAGAAAGGCAGCCTCTTCTTGGTTTTTGTAGGATCGGACATTTTGAGATCTATGCTAATCACAAACCAGCTTTTCTACCTCTGGGGCCAGTTAATGCAACCTTACCCTGGGTCTCCTGTAGCTAAAAGGAACCCAGCCATAGTCTCAAAGATAGAAAGAATCCAGATGATTTTGTCATCAAGGCAGTGAAAGCAGGGTGGCATAGCCCTGGAAGAAGATGCCATGCTCTTATTCAAGGGAACTCTTAGCTTCATAATTCTGGATTACAGTGTCTTAATCTGCAGCTAATCTATATTCTTACTGATTGGCTTTTCTTAATCACAACAGCTCTGTGGATAGAAAATCATACTGCCTCTGCAAACATTACAGTTTCTCAAGTGTTAGAACAGAATTCATTATTTTTTTTAAAAGATTTATTTATTTGAGAGAGAAAGAGAGTGCGTGCACACACGCATGAGAGCAGGAGGGGAGGGGCGGAGGGAGAGAAGCAGACTCCCCAGTGAGCAGACTCGATCTCACCACCCTATAATCATGACCTGAGCCAAAACCAAGAGTCAGACGCTTAACCAACTGAGTCACCCAGGTACCCCTCATTGTTTTTTAAAATTATTTTCTATCATCTGAATTTTAAACTCTAAACCCATTTAAACTCATTATATTAGGGCATATATTTTGAAAGCTTTTTCAATAGTAGTGATGGATTTGTGCATATACATCCACTGCTTTACCTCGTTTCTCCTGCTGACCAAATACAGACAGTTCTGAAACTACTGAATTAAGGGTGCAGAGTCAGTCCATGGAAAGAAGCTCATTGAATGCTTTTAGTCTTCACTGAGGACCTACCGAATTTATCACTGTGTTTACCCCAGGGATGTGGCAGTTCACTACATTACAGAGACTCCTTTGTAAGGAATAGCTGTATCATTGTAGTAGTAAAAGGGATCTGCTTTTATGGATTCTATTTTGTATGTTTGGGCTGACTGCTAGGAAACTTTGAGCCAGATTTGCTTCCGAACACTGGGAACTGCATGAGTTACTATGTCATTCTCTGATTATTCAGTCATTTTTGTATGTTCACTTATTTTTTGATCTATTATTAATGCTTTGGGGAATGAGGCAAGCTTTTATGGAAATACACCCACAATCCTGATCTTATTAGCACTAGATGTAACTCATTGTACTAGATGTCCATAACTATTGAAAAGACTCTTAATTTGGATATATGCCTTTTAGTCCCATTAGTGGCAACTGCAGTGAACCACTTTTCCAGGGATGTTTGCTAAGCCCTTAAAATCTTTATTTGTTTCTCACAGGTCATAGAGAAGAGATACTTTCTAAGAGAAGGTAATCAGGTCTGTATCTATTCTTGATAAAGTGGGTTCTTAAATTTGGAGAGAGGTGATTTCCAAATTTACTTTCAGAAGTGGTTAAAAAAAAGGTAGGGGGAAATCTTTTGTAGGCACAAGCATTTTCTTCCGTCCTCCTTGACACAAAAGGAAAAAAAATCAGATCAGAGGAAAATAAGGTTCTAAGAAACAAAAAGTGCTGGAATAAGGTTATATTATAAAATAATAGACGGAAATCATTTGCTTAAGACTCCAGAAGTATATATTCAGAACCCATCATGTTGCAGGCAATTCAGATAAAAGTGCAATTGGTGGGTGTTCTGAGATTCACCTTCATCTTCCCTGATTTAGATGACACTATCACCAATTTGTTGGCAAATAATTTTCCATTTTGGTAGAATTTATTTTATTATTTGATCCGAGTAAAACCTCAGAGAGATGGTTCTTTAAGGAACAACAGGCCGACATAGAGACACAGAAAATAAGGGAGAAATGGTAAAGGCTATTAGCATTTGAACTCTGCGTGGTTCTCTTTCTTGCCTACAGATTCCTGGCTTTCCTGATCGGAAGAGGTTTGGGGGAGGAACATTAAAGAGCCTTCATTATGACTGAATTACACTCATCGTCTGGAAGAGTGAGCAAGCGGTAGCGTTGTGCACAGCTTCCTTCTTGCCATGTTGACTATTAATGTTTCAGCCTTTTCGCAGAATCATCTTAAAATGCCACCCTTCAGCCTCACCCTTTAATGGAAAGCTGAAAGGAAGTGACTGTGTGGGAGATCCAAACTTTGTCCCAGTCCTCTCTGTTCCTCACCTTTCTGTCCCTGTTTGTAGATTATGTAAAAGCCTTGTGGAAATATGAGATGTTGTCAAAATGATGCAGTAAATGAGCAATGACAGAGTGCTGCGGAGAAAATTTACTTTTCCCAGAACTGGAAGGTTTTTATGGGTCTGTAATTTTCCCACACTCCTTGCTGGAGGCTTAATTAAGTACTTCAAAATGTATCTGTGTTGTATTACCTTCTTGAGGGGAAAGGTTATGTTAGCCAGCCCTGGGTCGTGCACCCCAAACAGTCTCTGTCATTTTCAAAGAAGCAAAAGGGTATTATTTAATTGTGTCCCCTCTCATCACACACAAGGATGCCTAAGAATAGCAGCCCTCGTCTCCCTCTCCTCTCCTTTGCGAGAGGTTCAGTGGCTAGAAGAGGCGGACTCCTAGTTGGAGTTAAATATAAATAGATTAATAATACATAGAGAACAGTGGTACCAGAAAAGAAGACTTCGAGAAATGGAGAGCTCACTAAATCCTTCACTCCAAGTTCCAGATGTCTGCACTGTCTTACTGTTTTTTATTTGGAAATAGGTAGGGTGAGATCTCAGACCTTCACAAGGGCAGCAAGAGAGATTTATAGCCTCTTGGGTTTCTGTGTTTTTTTAAGGAAAAATCAGCTCCTGAAATGTCTCCTAACTGTAGTCAGTAAACTAAGAATATTATTCTCTGTGTCAACAGTGTATTTATGGAGAGAAGTAAAAATAAGTTCCACAGCAACACATTTACATGAATTATGGACTAGGATTCTTAGATTTCATAATCCAACGTTTTTGAGGGTGGTGATGTATGTGTGCGTATGCATAATTGTTCATCGTTACTTTTTTTAACCCATCTTTTCTGCTTGTTTAATTCTCTCTGCCCTGGTTCTTCTTTAATATAGAGACCTCGTTTCCAAAAACTGCAATTTGCTGCCTTATTCAACCCCCATTTTCCTGCTCTGGCTCTGCGGCAGGTCTTTGCACTGCTGATTTTGTTCCATATTAAAAAAAACTAATAAGCACACAATTTCAGCTTCTCATTTTAAAACTAGGCAAAAAACATTAAATTCGCTTTCTCTTCCATCTTAATTACATTTCAGAAGTACTTTGGAAATCAAGGTATGCTAAAAGAGGATCTTAGAATAAGAATGTTAGCCAGTGCTTTTAGAAAGGCAGTTGGAGGAAATTGGAAAAGGATTTTTAAAGCACTTTTCATCAGCTAGAATAGTCTCCAGTCTTTCTTCCCATCCTCAGCCACAAGACTTAGCCCTGATTTCTTTTTTCACACAAAGGAGAGCTATGCAAATCAGGCTCTGTATGTGGGGGTTTGGCACAACCCTGTTGTGACAGAGGCTGTGCAGGTAGGAAGCAGAAAGCAAATGCATACACAAAGACCTGAACCAACTAAAGCTCTTTGTATTCCTCTTTTAAAAAATAAGTTCAAAAAAATTATACTTACATTATGAAAAAATAAAATACAACAATACAAAAGCAAAAATTAATATATGCCCCTTTCCTTCTCTCCCGCTTTCTTCCTTTTTCTTGCCCTTAATTAAAAAAAATCTATCTCAATTTCTTTATTTTCTCCCTTATTAAAAAATAAAAGTAACCCATCACTGATGGCTTCAGGGTCAGCCTTGAAAATTTAACAATACTCCTCAACTCCATTTCTTCTTGCTGTCAGGCTTGACTCCCTGGATTATAGTTTTCTGAGAAAAAATGATTTTTAATGTAAGGTAAATTTGCTGCAGGTATTAGTAGCAGCAAAACAAGGCTGTTTGCCAAAATGAATGTTATTATGTTATTAGCCAAAGTTCTTCAAAAAGAAGCATAAATTTTGCTAAGATTTCCTGAGACCTGCTCATCAAAATTGCTTTTGGATAATGAACAAATGTAAATACTGAAATACTTCCTGAAAAGTGTTAATTAAATCTTTAATTTTCTTGATGGAACAAGTGACTGGCAATAGAGAAAGATTTTTTTCCTGTTGTGATTCAGATGTCTAACCAATGTTGTTATTTATGGTAGAGGCATCCAGACGTGAAGGCATATGGTCACTCGTCTGTCCCTCAGAGGGTGGTAGGGCCCTTCGTTGGAATCCAACTAAAGATTTGGATTGGCCTCTCCACGTCTGTGCTCTGAAAAGAATTGCTGCTCCCAAAGGGGTCAATCCATATCAGCTTTATCTTGGGTTCTCAGAAGTCCCTAAACTTGAGGCATCTATGGCAGACTCCAAGTGCCTTGACACTGCCGTTTATCTGTCCATTCTGAAAATGGACTATGTGGAACTGATGTGCTGGGCCATCAGACTGAGATGAAGAGCTCCTAATTGCTGCCATGAGCAGAGCTTTTGAGTGGCCATTTCAACAGTGTATGCCGGAGCAGCCAGCCTAGGGAGGACCTTCTATGGGTTTTTGTTTTTTTTTTTAAAGATTTTATTTATTTATTCGAGAGAGAGAGAATGAGAGAGAGCATGAGAGGGGGGAGGGTCAGAGGGAGAAGCAGACTCCCTGCTGAGCAGGGAGCCCGATGTGGGACTCGATCCCGGGACTCCAGGATCATGACCTGAGCCGAAGGCAGTCGCTTAACCAACTGAGCCACCCAGGCGCCCTTTCTATGGGTTTTTAATAAATGTTGGTTTAATTGAAATTTTTAAATCACGGGGTAGCATCTATTTTAAGAAGTTTGAAGGTCTAACAGGATGTCTGCATTGATTTAATATCTTAAAATTCAAAGGAGGATACTGTTTGGGGAGAAGGAGGAGAAGGAAATAAAAAATTCATTCCTCTGTAGTCCCCAAACTGAGTTAAATCACTGTGGTAGGAGAGGAAATGTTCCAGGTGATCTAGCCCTGAGAGAACCCTGAGCCTCTCAAATATTCCCTGGTATGTTTGCCTGAGGCAAAACCGGAGCAGGAGCCTACCGAAAGGGGCCTGATTTTCAGTTACTCTTAGCACCTCCATGTAAAGACTCAGAGCAATGGCTTTTAAACTCAAATGTGCATAAATATCCGCAGAAGTTTTTAAAATGCAAATCTTGGGATTTCATCTGCCCCCACTTGCCCAATTCTGTGTATATAGGATAGGGCCAGGATTTTGTATTTTTAACAGGCAAAACAGGTGATTCTGATGCAAATAGTCCAGGATCCACACTTTGGGAAAGATAATAAACCCATATCGCAAAGCAGAGAATATATGGAATGTAGACTCTCTACTTAATGGCACCTTTACAGCTCATCAAAATTCACCTTGGGCCTCCTTTACGTGATCTCACCTTAATGAACTGAACCACTCACTCATCTCTTTCAAGGTTATACATGCCACAGCAATCATGAAATGATTGTCACATCCTCTATCGGCAAGACAGGAAATGTTTGTTTTTGATGTACTGCTACCATTTTTATTACTACCATGTTCTACATTCCAGGTGTATCTATTTCTAATAAGATGCCTTGCCATCTTATCCACGGTCCTCTCTTGTACCACATTTGTTTTCTCAGCTGGCTAATCACTAAGCCTTACCAAGGCCATCAGTAAGTACCGGGCAAAGACAAAACCCCTGAACTCCCAACAAAGATGTAAAACCTTGCTCAGTCCCATCAGGTATATCTATCAGTTCCATCTGTTTCTTGGAGACCCTCTAACTATAACTCCTCTAAGTCCATCCTGGAGTGATTGCTCTGCAGGCCTGTCACACTCCTTCGCATTGCCCTGTAACAATCCCCAGCTCCCAGGATGTAATGTTTTCCACTTTCTTGGTGTGGATCAGTGGTCATCCAACTGGGATGGGTACAAATATCCCCTCCAAGAGGTACATGGGCACAGATAGTTTTAGGGGAATCATTTTCCAGGTCATCAATCTGCATATGTACGTTAAAACTGATCAGCTTGTGAACACAGCTGGATACCAGTTACTTCCCACCTGTGTGTGCTTTCACAATCGGCCTTTTCCCACAACAGAAAAGAAACCTCTTACTTACGGAAGAATATGGTATATTGCCCCAGGATGTAAATGTCTTAGGATGCCAACAAAAGGACAATTCTAAATATTAGTTTTATTTAAGGATTTTGTTCCACTCACACAATTATTTAAAAAAAAAAAAATGCAGACCTCTCAAGGAAGAGTTCCTGAGAACAAATCAAAGAGAGTTTTGGTAAGAAATATCCAAGGCTGCGGCACATTCTTTCATGGCAAGGCTTCTTGCTTGGTTTATCAAAATATTGAAATAACATTTTTGTGACAAATAATTATACAGGCAAAGGAGTATAAAACTAATATTTATTTTCCCAACCCTTTCTGTGTGAGTTAGAAAAGGTACATCTAAATGAAAGGGTAACATTTAATTAAAGTCAGTGATTCCAATAGCTGGGTAACCAAGCCTCTTCCAATCAGGTTTCCAATTATTTCCTTGCAACAAAATTAAAGAAGAACCTAACTCAGTTGTTGACAGGTCATTAAAAATGATGTTTAATAATAGATCACTATCTGATTTTTGATATTTAATTTAGAAGAAGTGATATTGTAACAAAATTCCTTCCATTCATATCTGCTTACGTCTGAGAAATTTTCTTAACACATCTGTAAAACCAAAAAATAAGATTAAATGATGCTGAAACCTGTTTATTCCAGAAATAAGAATTACAAATAAGAATTATTAATTCATGGGTATATGAACTAAGGGGAGAGACATCACCTTATTAAAAGAAGCATTTCCAGAAAAAATTTACCTTTTATATTTATTATTTATCAAAATATGTAATATGTATGGGTTACCGTCCTAGAGAAGAATCTTCCAGGCTCCTGGCTGGAGGGTAAAACACTTCCTGATAGCATTCTCTGGAAGTGCAGTGAAAGGAGGAGTCTGGAGCTTTCATCATCACTTCTTACACTTGGTTTTGGACCTACTCTCCACTCCCTGGTGCTTGTGAGTCTGGAACGTCTCTGATTTTTCTTCTGGAGCTTCTGTAGAGTGTAAATCTAATTTTACTAGAATCTGGGAGAAGCAGATACCTGTTGTCTCCAATTCCTGGTCCTTTTTAAATTCTCCACCTCATATGTTCCCTGTATTGGTTCACTGAATCTATCCTCCTCTGCCTGGTTTTTAGCATCTTTGTTCTTGTTGCTCATGACTTTGATACTGTGACTCTGTTCTGGCTCAGGATGTTTGCCTTGTCCCTACACAACCTGCTCTCTCCGCTGGGTGTCCTTTTGAATGCTAAAAACCACACCCTGCCCAGAAGGCACCCCTCTTCCCCTGCTCCAGATGTCTGCCAAAACTCTCCCCTTCCCAGTCTTCCCTCACTAGACGCCTCCATTCTGCCCTAAACACAGTACTTAAATGCACTGCCCTTCCTCTTCTCTGTTTGCACACACTCCTTCCTCTGCTCATGCCCTATGCAACTCATTCCGTGAGACTTGGCTCAGGTATCATCTCCTTTGGGAAGCCTTCCCTGCCCTCCTATTCAGGACTAGGTGCCCCTCAATCCCTCCAGTAGCACCCGTGCCCTTCCCTGTCACAGCAGGTATGGTTCTCTGTTGTGATGGCCTGTTCATTTCAGTCTTCTCCAGTATGCTGCTCTAGCAGAGAACAGGACTGAGTCATTTTTGTATCCCCTACATCTCACAGGATCTGGCACATAGCAGGTCCTCAAAAATCGTAAAATAAAGCAATGAATGTGTGATTACAGTAACTAAAATGGAAAACCATCAGACATAGAATCAGATAGTTCCTGAGTTTTATTTATTCTCGTATCCCCTGTATGTATATAGCACAGTGTGTGGCACATAGTAGTTATACAAAGCAAATGCTAGTTTTATTGCATCACAATTATAAAAACAGAAAAAGGAAATACAGTTAAGCCACTTAGGAGAAATCCATAAAGTTTGGTGCTAGGTTATTCAATTTTCAAGCCCCTCAAAGTAATTTTCATGCAGTCAGGGATGTGTGACCACATTCTTACTCTTTCAGAAATCTCCCACACCTTAGGAAAGAGCCTAAACACTCCTTAAATCTGCCTTCACAACTGATTCAGTGGAAAGAACTTAGGAAGTTTATGGAAAAATAAAGCAGTAAAGCTTCTCCCTTGTCTTTTATTGACTCCCATTCATTTTTTTTTCCCCTTAACCACCAAAGACGAACTTGCAGGATCGATAGATTTAAGACCCAAAGAACTCATA